TCCAAGTCCTCTATTCAGAGCACGTTACTATAGTCTCACGAGACTGAAGGATGCCTAATATTAATGTCTCTTTATGGGGCTGCCCTTGAAGACGGTATGAAAACTCCGGCGGGTGCAAAAATGCGGTGGCCAGGCTGGTCTCTGGGGCAAGCAAATTCAATCGCATCTTCCCGATTCTGGCTTGCTTGCATTGGCTTCCTGTTTCCTTCCCTAACAAATTCAGGGTTTTGGTTTTGACATATAAAACCCTGTATGGTTGGGGGCCTCGGTACTTCTTAGAATAACTCCCTGGTGCACTTGCTCCTCCCAGGTCTCTCTTCTTAAAGCGGCCACCCTGAGGGAGGCCAAAAGAACATCAATAAGGTACTGGGCATTCTCAGTGGTGGCCCCCACACTACAGAATGCCTTTCCACAGGCGATGCGCCAGTCCCCCCCCTCCCTTGGCATTTGTAGGAAATTTTTCTGAGTCATATAAGCAAACCTTTAACAGCATTCTAGCCCTGCGGGAATCATTCTAGAGAATGATCTTGGAATGTCACCTGTTGATTTTCCCTTTAGATTCTTTGAAAATCGTAATTGCTGATTTCAGACTGTTGTGTACCGGTTTTGTGTACTAGTATTTTTATAATTTCTTTGCCCATTGCCCAGAATAGTGACTCTGCAGTAAGTTGGGTTGGGGGAGATATATAAATCAATCAAATAAATAAAATACTGGAAAGTGGGTCTCATGGAATGCGAGGGGAGTTGTTTGGAAGTAAAGATTCACAAGGCAAGACGGCACCGCTTAGATTTTATTTATGGTGTTGGTGATTCCTAAGTGTCTGCCCTTGTAATTCAAGGCGGTTTGCCATTTTTCAGTTCTAAAAATAGTTGCCCAAAGAAAAGACAGGAAGCGAACACAGAACAAGAAGTGTCCGTCTATGCAATCTTTGGAGTGACGCATCCTCTTTCCTGCTGGGATGTTCAACAGAAATTTGGGGAAGGGGGTTAGATGTCAGCGGCCTGACACAGGCAGTGAAGACAGAAGAAGCTAATTTCGGGGAGAGTTTGCCCCCGATCTTCCTGCCTCTTGGTCTCATCCCCGCTTCCTGCTCCTCAGGTCTCGGGGGTGGCAGTGCCTCGGGAAAAACCACCGTCGCTAGGATGATTATTGAGGCCTTGGATGTCCCCTGGGTAGTGCTCCTGTCCATGGATTCTTTCTACAAGGTGAGAAAAGTTGGGGCTTGGGAGATGTGAAAAACTTGCACTGTGACAATCAAATGCGTGTCAGCCCTTAAGGAAATCTCTCCTCAGATGATGTTCTAACAACAAGGTGCAGTTTGAGACTAAAAGTACCCAAACTGAAAACTGACCAGGCAGGGAATTAGCTTTCTGCCATATTACTCTTTGTAAGCAACAGCAAACTGCTGTGGAACAAGTATTTATATGACAGCTTCTAAGAGACTTATCTGGTCAGGTTTAAACTCCAAATCCATTCAAGATATTGTTGCGAATAAGAAGTGTTCACACTCTGTGCAAAGCTGTGTCACTCGCACCAACAATTTCAGGTTTTGTTTTCTCTGGCTGGCAAAACTAAATGAATCTAATAATTATGAACCTTTAGCTATTGGCAAACAATTGCTCCTGTCCCCAATTTAAATCTCTTTTTTCTATCAGTCGTGTATTCTAGCTTGCCGCAGTAAGATATTTATTGTATTACTTTTGAATTTTAGACTTAATCGATCCAAATCTTTGCATTCTCCTCAGTAATCTTTTGAATCAGCTGTAACTGGCCTTTTAAAATAGCAAGCTGAAGTGTGATTTTTTTTTTCATGCGCCTAGACAAAACCACCTGAGAGATTTCACAATGCCGTCAGTCAATGTTTGAATTGGTCTTTGGTCCAAACAATGGGTGAACACGGGTGGCCTTTCAGGGAACCCATCAAGCATCAGGATTGGTATTCAGGCCAGACAATCAGTGAACACTGGCCGTGATTCAAGAGATCCTACCACTGGCCTTCCTGGGCCAGAGACATTTGACCAAAAACACTGATTGAACTCAGCCAGAGACCTGATGAAGCTTGAATGGAGAGTGGAGTGATATGGCTGCCCCCAGTTCCTCTCTCCCCATCCCATTTATATTCAGAGTTGGTTTCAGAGCCCATGAAGTCTGTTTGGTCCTTCTTTAGGGTTATGTCCTGAATATACTATACCTTAAGCCTGAGGAAAGCGCCCCAGAGGGAGACCACAACTGTGATACAAGGACATCTGCAAGCGAGATCTGAAGGCCTTAGGAATAGACCTCAACAGATTGGAAAACCTGACATCTGAGCTTTCAGCCTGGAGGCAGGTGGTGCATCACGGCCTCTCCCAATTTGAAGAGACCCTTGCCCAGCAGCCCGAGGCAAAGAGGAAGTCACAAAAGCAGCAAAACCAGGGAGCCGGACAGGGGACAGACTGGATTTGTCTTCAGTGTGGAAGGGACTGTCACTCTCGAATTGGCCTTCTTAGCCACACTAGGCGCTGTTCCAAGCCCTCCATACAGAGCACGCTACCATAGTCTTTCAAGACTGAAGGATGCCTAACTAACTAACTAAGCCTGCAGCGTAGCTTTGAATGCATTTTGTTGGTCAGGATCCCGTCATCTGCTTTGTTCATCTCAACGTTCCTTTCTCCTGCATGAGAATTTGTGTAAGGTGGTGTCAAGCCCTCCCTTCTGGAAACAGAGCCCTTTTCTCATTCCTGGGTGGTGTTCACAGTCAACATTTCTGAACTAAGAAATAAGTGGGTAGGACATGACCCCTCCGTCCATGTGCCACAGAATACAGGTCTATGTAACTCCCAGCGAAGACTGCTTGGTCTCCCACCTCCTGCGCCTTCCGTGCCGTAAACGTTTGCTTCCCGATTCTTTCTCTGTAGGTCCTGACGAAGGAGCAGCAGCAGCAGGCAGCCAACAACGATTACAACTTCGACCACCCCGATGCTTTCGATTTTGACCTGATCATCTCCACCCTGAAGAAACTCAAGCAAGGCAAAAGTGTCAAGATCCCCATTTATGACTTCACCACCCACAGCCGCAAGAAAGAATGGGTGAGCCGCGATTTGGATAGGCTTCTGAATTAGGGCTTTAGTGGCTAGGAACCTTGGCTTGTAGAGTTGGGTGGGGAGCCTAAAGGTTGTCTAGCCCACCCCCCCAGGAGATCCGCAGGTAGAGCACCCTTGATCGATGAGCCTCTCACATCTGCTGAGTGGTCTTTGGAGGACTGAAAGCCAACATCCTACAGGGATAATCTCCTCCTTATAGAGTATTGGGAGTTCTCCCCACTGTTCGCTCATCAGGGTTTGCTACGGCTGCAAATAACATGTCAGGGAACATAAGTGTGACAACCCCAGACCTACTGGAGTATACCACACTTTAATTAAGCTGCCACCAACCATTCCCTATAATGAGTCACACAGACCAGGAATGGATTTTTAACAAACAAAAGAACAAGGTTTATTTAAATAACAAACAGGGTAAATAAAATGATCAAGTAAATAAGATACTGTAACGTGGCTTAGTCTCAATCATACATACAACAGTTTGGTTCACACAGAACACTTTAAAGTAGAGCACAGACCCTGAACCTATCAGTTCTGGCTACCTATAAAGAAACCTGAACCTATCAGGTATGTACCAACTGACACACAGTTGTACTCAGTCTGACACACAGACTCCCACTCCTCAACTCCTAACTTCTCCACACAGGCTCCAAATATATATACAGTACAGCTCCTCCCCCTGATGTCCCGCCTTCCACTCCCCATAGGATGGAACTTTCCCTCCAAACCCATGACAGACAGGTACCATCAGTGCTGTATGT